ACAGTAATGATATTATAAAATAATATTTACTAATTTATGACGAGTTTGTTCAGACGGTAGAACTTGCTTGAAATTATCACGATTTGCGTTGTTGCTGTATTGCCCAATGATCTAGCCTGCACGAAACTCAAAAACTGCCCCAGGCCACACTCGCTTGATGTGGTGCTTGCGTCTACTGCACATTAATACATTATGTACGTCGGCTGGTGCAAATTTTACAGCCCTGGTGGCACAGAAGTTTGATTGAAACAAATTTACAAAAAGTTATAAAAACATTTTTCACTTGCAACAAAATCAAAAACAACTTCACAGTTTAAGCAAATTATTGTAAAATTATTTTAAAATTGGACTCTCTGTGGTACCAAATATTGACAGTTTCTCTCCAACGTATCATCGCGCAGAAACAGATTTGAAATTTAATCCTCTTTGAATGATTTTTAACAGATTAATAATTTAGATAAAATTTTGAAATAATTATCATAAAAATTAACGATTTTCTCCCAAATATGAATATGCAAAATCCCGATGAATTATTCAATCAGCAAAACCCTAAATTAATTTTCATCTTTACCATCATTAAATTTCATGTCATATTTGGATTAGTTCAATGTTTCAATTACTGGTGGTATTCAAATAAACGTTCAACAAAGTTTGCGTTTGTAGCAGTTGTGTTCAAATATCGGAACAGCGAACACTTGACGATCGTTGGAAGCTTCAAAACTGGTGTTGGATATATAGAGGTTATTGATATATATATCCCTTAGCATACCAAGCCAATGTCATCAACATTGTTTACCAAGCTGGGGTCCTCAAGGGACCCCAATTATTTTTTGATATTTCTCAGTTATTTGATGATTATTGGGTGTTTTAAGATATTTTTTAGTAAAACAAGTATTCTGAGCATAATTGATTTTTCTTCTTTTCATCGATTATTCAAAATTTTCATCCGTTTAAAATAATATAATGAAAAATTTATTATAATAAAAATAGGTAAATGTTATGTATGTATATAATATATTTATAAATTTATATATATCAATCATTGGTTGCTATCCCTGCAATCCTTGGCGCATGTCACAGTGGTGATTGTCTTCCTGTGTGTTTCACAGACAAAACGTTTACATTCTCCACAGACTGTGTTAACTTTTTTGTCTTTGTTTCTGGGACAGTAAGAACATCTTCCCCTTTTGATCTGCTGCTGCCTTGATGCTGATGGTATATTTTGGGTTGTAGTGTTGCGTGCTACAACTACTCCTGCAGCTTCAATTGCTTTGACAACTGGAAGGTGGAGACCATTTAGATTGGTTGCCCTTCGTAGAATGTTGGGTTTGGTCAGTTCTTTGCCTAATTCTAACAAAAATTGATATATAATATTCTTCATATGTCTATTCCAGTCATTGTTTTTCGACATCCAAATTATGAAGGCATTCAGGGCACCAATATCGAGCATATTCATGCAAAGTCTTAGAGGCCATCTTGAGGTTCGTCTAGCACAAGAATATTCTCTAATCAATTTATCTGCATTGTCCACTCCACCCTTGGTATTATTGTATTCCAGTATCATGTTGGGCTTCCTGTGACTTTCAGAGGATACTGAATTATCTAGAAATTGAGTTGAGAGTAAACGGACTGTTTTGTTTTTCTTTGGGACCTAGCTGACTACTGCTACCCCGTTAGAAAATATAAATTTTGATGAAAGTATGTCTCGTCCTCTTGCATTTTCTATAACTGAAGGAATATCAGTTTTTTTAGTTCTCAATGTTCCTGTCATGGTGATGCTTTTTTGCAGAAAAAATTCTGCAGTCTTCACGGATGTAAAAAAATTGTCTGTAGTGACACCTCTTCCAGATCCAAACAGTGGTTCCACCAAGTCACATACTACGCAGTGTCCTAAATTTTTCTCTGGTGCATTTCCTGGAAGCTTTCCAGTGTAGACTTGTAAGTTGTACAAATATGAAGTCTTCACATCTGCGGCCACCCATATTTTTATTCCATATTTTGCTGGTTTTGATTTCATGTACTGCCTCATCGGACATTTGCCTCGAAATGCTACAAGCTGCTCGTCTACTGTGATGTTTTCAAATGGCGTAAAAAGCGTTTGGCAATTTATTACAAACCAATCCCAAACTTCACGAATAGCTGCAAGTTTATCAGTTGTTCTCCTTTGAGCACGTGTTAATTTGTCGTCAAACCTGATAAATTGAAGGATGAGTGCAAATCTGTTTCGTGCCATGGCAGCAGTAAAAACAGCACGACGAATATTTTCATCTGTCGTCCACATTTCAGAAATATTTTCCTTACTACAGCGAAGAGCTCCAGCAATCAGCAGAACACCAAAAAATGCTTTTATTTCAACAGGGTCTACATCTGTCCAAGCTTTCTGTTTATTCGAATCAGCAGTTGCATTGAAATCATTAATAACTCTAGAAGCTTCAGCATTGGTGAAGGTGCATATAGCATCCACAATTCGGTCGTCAAAGAACCAGTTGAAAATTTCAGATATCGTCGATGCAACATTAATTGCGCGTGTTGGCCCGGGTGATCCCTTGACATTGACGACGGCGAGATGATGGTGGCACAGAACTTGTCCATCTTCTACCTGATTTTGCTGTGAATTCATCTTCATCCGAATTTGTATCCGAATTTTCACTAGCACTGTCACTATATTCAGAATTTACTTCAAGATTGTCCTCCAATTCGGATGCATCTCCTGCTGGTATAAATTCTTCATCAGATTGTTCCAATACATCTTCCGGGTCACTGTCACTGATTTCACATTCATCTAACATTCGGAGAATCTCATCTGTAGTTTGTCTACGAGCCATTTTTCTTATTTTCAAACGTTTACGTTTATATTTTATGTTATCAAAATCTTTACAGCAAATTATAAACTTTATTTGAAACAGAAAATAATAATTTTCAACGGAAGTTTTGCAAATGGAGGACAAATTAAAAGTAAGTAAGATGAGCAAATATTCAGTAAGAATGCAGAATAATACTTTTTAATACTGAAACCTTTAAAATGTGTCTACAATTTCAGCCATAAGTGTTAAAAAACAAAAACACAATCGGTAACGTAGTGTACCAAGCGGGGTCCTACACGGACCCCAATGCTCTTTTATTTTTTTTACTGTTTTTGAAATAACGTATAATAAAAACAACAATGGAATATTTATTGCTACCCTAATCGGGAGGAATAGAAAAATCATGGTGGAATTTGTTTGGTTACTTTTGACAGGGTTAAGGAAAACTACTCTCTGGGGTCCTTGAAGGACCCCCCTTGGTATGTTAAGGGATATATATATATATATATCATATATATATATATATATATATATATATATATATATATATATATATATATATATATATTTCAACACTTGCCTACAAGTCTATCAACGGTCTAGCTCCATCTTATTTGTCTGACAGGTTCAAAAAGAGATCTTCAAAAGCATCTGGAGCACACTTGAGATCCGATGTTTCAAACCTGCTGTTGATCCCAACAACGAGTCTCCGTATAGGTTCTCGTAACATTGCTGTTTCTGGACCAACTGTTTGGAACAACCTGCCTGCTGCCCTCAGAAATCCGGACCTAAACCTGCGTGATTTCAAGAAGAAACTGAAAACTCATTTATTTTCATTGTAATGCATTATTGATAAATTTTTTCTGTTTAGTCGACATGTTCTAAATATTATTTCGTATTTTCGTTATATTGAATCGATTACTTTTCTGTTTATGACCAAATTTTAATCTTATTTCTGTGCGATGTATTATGATTTCTCGTTTGTTATTTCAATTATGTTGTTAAGTTCAGTTTTTGTTAGATAGCGCTTTTGAGATTCGTTTAATTAGCGCTTCATAAATGTTTCAATAATATATATATATATATATATATATATATATATATATATATATATATATATATATATGTATATATATATGTTGTAATGAACATTTATTACGTTTTCGTCTTTATAACGGTCTTTCCAACTTTCACGAAGAAGGATAACTTTGTCTCAATTCGATAAAATTAAATTATGAATTAATCTTATTACGGTTGTCATTATGAGTATTGAATGTAAATTCTCATGCACGTGCAAAATTATGAATAAATTTATGAAAGTAAAACTATTAACAATTTTTTTAAGATTTTTAAGATCCAAACACATGCAAAGGTAACAAGGACGTTGCAAAAATTTTCAAAATTGATGATGAATACAAAAAGTTCAATGAAGCAGGAAATAAAATTTTTGCATTAAGCAATATACACCACAAAAAAAAACTACAATAAATTCGAGAGATCGCAAACTATCTTTGATGAAATCCTGGAATAATATTCACGCATTTAACCAGCCATACATTTTTTTCAAATTACAATTTTCGTTATTTTTATGTTAATATAATATACGAGGATGTATTAACTTCTTTACATTTTTTTTAAGATTTCGAATGTGAAAAATTCAACTGTGATGACGTTGATGTAAAAGAAGTTGAAGAATTAGCTGAAACGGTTTATTCTAATAACAAAACATGGCTTAAAAACAAATTACAAAACCTGAGTGACTGGGTGATTGAAAATGCCAAAAATAGCAGACAGACAGACAATAGAGATTTATAAAGCATTTGAATTATTAAAACTTGAAAGATTGTATGCGACTCTAGAAAGTATGAGAATGTCAGAAAAATTTATCGAAGTTTCGGTCAAAAATGTAGATGGTCGTTGTGAAGTTCCAAAGATGGTAGTAAAAATGTATGCAAAACCTAAAAAAAATTAGAAGCCAGCAATTTGAACCAACTGTATACAGCATTATTAGAAAAGATAAATAGGGAAATGGAAACATGACAGGACTAAAGAATTCAGAATGAAAAATGTAGAGTGCAATATGACAAGTTGCATCGGAGAGCCAAAACAAGTCAACTAGCTTGTGTGCTTTAGCAGTTTTGAGTTTTATAACGCGCCATTTAATGTTTATCTTTTAAAAGTTAAGCAATGATGAAGATGCTAACGACAGTAACTTTTCGCGGGTTTTCAGTTTCGGTTCGTCGGTTCCATTACGTTCAGGGCCAGATAAGTTTATCAAATGTTAGGGAATATTTCTACTACATCGACCACCGAGGACAGGTTGGCATTTAAAAAAAATTTGCTTGAATCTACTTTTGATTTTTGTTCAAAAATTTATTTTGTGTTTTTTTAATTCAATTTGATTTTTTCAATTAATTAATAATTAATTTTAATTTTTGGTATTTACTAGTATTTCATTAATTTTGTAGTATTTTATATTTATAATTTATAATATAATAAAATTATATTTTAGTTGTTTTTGGATGATGCTAAAATAAAAAACTTCACCACTTGTTTCAAAGGTTATTTTTATTTTATATGAAGTTGTTATCTATATTTATAATTTGTTTTTATATTAATATTTTTCATTTCTCAACCCAATTTGTCAATTGTAATTTATTTTTTTTATTTGTTTAATTTAATTTAGTTATTTTAATTTAATTCAGTTATCTTTATTTTTAAAAAATGAATTAATTAAATTATTGTTGTGTTTAATATGTTGTGAACAGTTGAAAGCTAAAAACTTTATTAAGATAAGACAAGCTATTTGTTATTTTTAATTTATTCTTTATTTATGTTGTTTATTTTATTGGTTCACTTTACTTACTTTTTTTTATTTAGAGTAATAAGTAATTGTAATGGTAATCTATCAGTTGTGTAATGTTATGTAATGATTTGGTGTACTAGTAATTTTGTTATAACTGTATTTGATGATATTAAATTAAATTAAGTTAATTAATTTATTACAATAAAAAAAGTTTATTTAATATATAAGTTAATTTTTCTTTTCTTAAACAGATAAAAAGTTTTTAAAATTTTTCTACACACATTTGAAGCTGAACGTCGCAGGAAAGTATGGAAAGCTATTTCCATTTATATCTCCATGCGGACCAGAAATGAACTTCATTCGTTGCAACAGCTTACCGATTGTTTATAATAAAATAATTTCACAAACTGCAGATCTGAGTTCTGATTTGCTGTTATACGCTGGGGAGCAATTATCTCAATCGTTCGTGCCATCAAAGTTATTTGTTGAGTCTGTTTCTGGTAGGTTATATCATCCAGGCCCCAATATCTGTGGAGGTGTTGGTCTGGTGGCCTCCGATCTAGCCCAAGAAATTAGTGACAAATTTATTTTTGAAAGTTTAAAAGGTAATTCACAAGCTCATATGCAGGTTACTGATGTGTTTAATCACTCACTGATAAGTAATAACGATTTATCATATCACTGTACATTTCAGATGTTAATATTCATTTGATTTCTCTATCAAATAATCTCTTTATCTGACAAATATAAAAATTAAATTTGTATCAAGTTGACTTTTGCTTATTAACCACCACACTTGTATAACATGTTTGTTTTAGCATTCAGGTTAATCAATGATTATGTGTAATAATAATAAAATAAAAGTTATCTTACAAAATGACTCAGCAACCCTCTCACATAATATGGAATAACGAGAAGATCGCCGTGAGTCCTGATCAACAGATGATTTCTTTCTTGCAAACTCTTAAAAATTATTCAAAATAATTTCTCCAATGTACTGTCAAAAAAACGTACAAGAACCGCCAAATCTCTGGTTTATTATGATTTATTTATCGTTTGTTGCGTGTGACTATAACATTTAACTGATGCATTGGTCATTTTAATTTGCATATTTCTCGACTGAGTTGTTTAAAATGTTACAAAAATTTTTTTTTCAACATAACGAGGATGTTAGGATGTTGTTCCTGATTTTATTCCGTTAGTTTATCGTGCAAATTATTTTTAAGCCTTTTTTAGCTGGATGAAGCATCATCATCGATTGAAGCAGTTTGGTATTTTTATAAAAAGAAATTAAGAGAATATTTAAAGGATTAAATGCGATTAGAATTTGCACCAGTTGCGAGTCTAGGGGCATAAGTAGTTTGTTATAAAAGGTCAGTAAAACTTCGCACAAAAAACAGTGTTTTATGCAGAAAATCAAAAATTTACGTGATAAGCATAAAAACTGATAGCCAACGTTATTTTGGCCCTTTTCCTCCGTCAAAATGTAGAAATTATTTTAACATTTTTAAATTTCCCCTCCTCTCGCCAAATTTGTGACCAAACTTCAAAGGTGCTTCACAGGTCGTTAAACATGTGGTGCTAAGACGCTTGAAGCCGTCGCCGCCGATTTAGTCGACCAAGGGGGTGCAAAGTCCGAGTTGCGAACATGTCAAGCAGCCGCCGACTGTTTTGTTTCTAGTTGCCGCCGCTTTTTGAGGCCGAGTTACGACTTAATTTTGTTTTTGTAAATTTTATTTTTTGAAATTGACCATTTTTAATAAATAGTTTACCTATTCCATAATTTTAAAAACAATTACATTTAAAGTCTTTGTTTTTATTTATGTATCATAAATTATTTGGTCTTATTTAGTCTTATTTGTTGGTCCTGTCTTTGTACAATTTACGCGATCGCGATCGGCCGCCTATTGGTATTGTTTCAAACTTTTTCAATTCTCATATTATGCTTGTTATTTTATTGAAATAATGTTATTTTAAAAATCAAGATTTAACTGAATTTGATTTGCATTAAAAAAAAAATTTTAAATTCTTTGCCTAAATTTTAAGACTTGAAGAAATAATTGTTCCATGTCAATGTTAACTGCGTTCTATAAGTAATGTAGTAAATAAATATTAGTTAAAGTGTGCCTAATACTTGTAATTTAGTATTCAATTTTATGTTGATATATCCAATAAATCTGCAAGTTCAGATTATTTTAAAATACTAATTAAAATTTCTATTCTGTATGTGCATGATAGCAAATTATCAATTCATTTCGTTTGTTAGTTTCCGATTATTAGAATTTTGAGAATTTTTTTGTTTTTCTTATGAATTCAAACCAAAACGTTTTTAAATCAGACAACCAAGAAGCTTAGGTATATAAATTACTTGTATTCTACAACTGACGGGAATATGGATTCGATGATTGTGTTGTGGCTGGAATTGCTGGGATTGGCGCTGTCTTGGGGAGTTGAACCCGGGCTGGTTTGCCGATGTTACTGGTCTGTGACTTTCTCTTTGTGCATTTCACCAACATAAATAGGGAAATATTAATCATCCTGTGTGGTGTGTCAGGTTTTTTACTGTGGACATGCCTTGTATTGATGGCTCAGATATGACAAAGAAAAGATACACATTTCCCCGAAAGTATGTGGAGAATCTGCTGTGGATAGCCACTTCGGTAGAGACTCGGATACTGTAGGGGGTTTAATCATTTCTTTTGATTGAGGCTCAAAAATCCTTCGGGGTGTGTCGAGAATCTATTATGGCTAAATACCATGGTGGAGGCTCAAACACCATTGATGGAGTTTTTTTTTACATCTGTACGGTTCGTTCGGGATGTGTTGAGAATCTGCTGTGGCTAAATACCATAGTGGAAACTCTAATATCTTCGGGAGGATTTGTGCAGTTTTGCATTTCTCTTGAGGTGCATCGAGAATCAACTGTGGCTAAATACCATGGTGGAGGCTCGTGTGCCGCTGAAAGAGAATCAGCCCACTCTATCTTTAATCTTTATAATCTTTTCAATTTTGTGTCAAATGCCGTCTGTGGGTGGCTTCCATGGTAAAAAATCAAGCGAAATACCGGGAACTTAAATATCCAAAACTCTATTGAAGTAGAATGAATGCACTGGAGTGGTAGTCATTGGTTTGTGGGACTGGCAAACGGTAGGTGGGTTTTCTCTCTTCGTGCTGACGTCAACTTCTGGTCTATGGTGTGGTTATTGAATCTGTTACCCGTCAACTTAAAAAGACTGGAATAAACTATTACAACCTTACCTCTTAAAATATATTTAAGTCAAAGATTATCATTTATTTTTCTGGATTGATGTCTTGATATAGTTTAATCTTATTCTTCTTTTTCGACTGTGATTGATTTTGAAGATGTAATAATAATAACTAAATTATTATGAAAAAAAACAAAATAAAATAAAAATTAAGAAAAAAATATTAAAATTACTGGCACATAGCACCATCTTGGGAGCTGCAGTGCCGTTAAAATCTCAAAAAAAAAAATCAGACAAGCGCTGTTCTGTTAAATAAATTACAGTTTTATAAGCTTATACAAAATATGTATAAGAGATGCTGTTTTTGGGCATCGATCTGTTAAGTGCTTTGCTGTTCAATGTTCACGATGTAGTTGCTAATATGATTAGTGCCATCAAATATTTAAATATAAATGCTTGCTTGGCTCATTCTTTACATTTACTCACAATAAACAATATTGTTGGGTGTAACTAGAAAATAAATGATTTGTTGGAGAGGTGCAAAGTAGCAATTTAAAAGCTGCTCTTCAAATCCTGTCTTATGCAAGATGAAATAAATAACTTTGCTGATAAAGAGGTAATAAATGCCATGTTGGAAAAAATCACGTATGTGCATGATGAACTTAATGCTGACAGCGTCATTACACGTGGCTTAGAGTCTATAAATGAAATTGAAGAAATCAAAATAAAAGCGCAAAGACATCAAAAGACATTGAAACAGCTTGTCATAACGCTTTGAAACTTAGTGCTCAATATGGTAAATAGTATTTTATGTTAATGGAATGAAATTTCAGAAGCGTTAAAAAGAAACGGGAAGAGAGAATATTGTTTAACCGAAAATGATAGAGATTTATTAATAGAGCTTAGGTTTTATTTTAAAAAAGATCGCACGTGCTAGAGATTTAACTCATTTTAAATACAAAACATCGAAAATGAACACCGGTAAGTTGAATTTCAGAAATTAAGATCTAATTAAATCTTTTATTAAAATATTTTAAATTAAAGTTTAATCTTTTGAAAGTTTTTAATCTATGTTATTGTTAAATATTTATTTTTAATTTGCGAGTGACGCTATTGGGAACAATTGCTATATTTTTCAATAACTAGATTTAACTTATATTTCAATTTGAAATTTCATGTTAGGTTTTTGAAAAAGGAGAGTTAAGAAGAGACGACAGTTTGATCATTCGCCGACGGTGACTGTTTTCTCTCGAGGACAATCTTTTAATCTTTAATCTTTAATCTTTTGAAATCTTTTAATCTTTAATCTTTAATCTTTTGAAAGTTTTTAATCTATGTTATTGTTAAATATTTATTTTTAATTTGCGAGTGACGCTATTGGGAACAATTGCTATATTTTTCAATAACTAGATTTAACTTATATTTCAATTTGAAATTTCATGTTAGGTTTTTGAAAAAGGAGAGTTAAGAAGAGACGACAGTTTGATCATTCGCCGACGGTGACTGTTTTCTCTCGAGGACATTTCCACTTTCAAATCATTGAACAAAAAAAATAATTTTATCAGTTGATTTGTTCTTTTTTTTATAACTACAAATTTGATTCCATAAAACAAATAGATGAATAAAATATTAAACTATCGAAAAAAAGTAAAAGTAAAATTATTTAAAATTTGGTTAAACAACTAAAATCAGTCCAATAAAACACTAGGCAAGAAATAGATTATGTCCATAGGACGTTATTTGATATAAAATTATAGATGCCTCTATTGATCAATAAATTTCACATCAAGTGACAAATTTAGAAAATTTAGTAAAATATGATAGGAATTTACAAACTTTTTTATAGCAAAGTCATTAAAACGAAAGCATACGTCAAAGCAAATGATAAACAGTTTTTCGTTTGATGAAAATTGCCGGATTTGTAAGTCAGTAAGCCAAATTGACCGCCATAGTTCGACTGCTCGGTGGAGCCTCCACTAAGATAGATGTGATGTGTGAATGTTCTAACATTTTCATCCTCTACCCACCTCCATCTGTATGACCCAGAAACAGTTTCAGACATTTCAGGTATAATGACGATCACCAAATTGGACTTGTGAAATATTACTATGTGTCTAAAATTGTTTCAAAATAATTTTCTATATTATTCTACTAATTTTTTTTTAAATTTTTTTAGATGCCATCAAAAAAAACCAACCCTCGATTATTATTTGTAATTCTTCCATTATCAATTAATACAACTATTTCCTTTGTATGGTTACACTCAAAAATGAGTGTAGTAGACTCAACACCGGGAACATTCTGGTGAAACGTCTTAAGAACGCCCCTCTTTACAAATTGTGTGCTTTGCGTTTTCTTAAGTTCTGATCTGGTGGAGCTTGTTAGCGACGCGACGATGGTTATGATGATGAAAACGTTGATGACAAAACACAAGCCGACCATTTCTGAACTTTCGAAATCTGGTCTCGTAAGATGATGTCTATTTTTATGAAAAAAAATGTTTTTT